CGCCTTGTTGCCCGCCGCGCTGCGGCGTGTTACGGCGCGGCGTTTCAAGCAACTATTTTGCAACGGAGGTGTTGCACAGTATCACAAGAAATTGACGGCGCTCTAATGCATCAAGTCTGACAGGCATATTCTTTAAGAGTACGAGCTTTCCTCACAAAATAAATCAATATACCACCGCACAAAAAGAGAGCGGTAGTCCAAAGACTAACTGAGTCCTGGCATCCCTATTTGGTAACGTTAGGCATAATTGTTTAATTCCTTCAGAGAAAAAAGCGACTCGATTTAGGCACAGGCATTCTTTAGTATGCCGTCAAGATGATTTTATTTTAAATCATTCAGCGTTTTGCATGACGCACCAATCTACTTATTTGAGAAACACTTTACAAACGAAGAGAATCTGATTTTAGCCCATAGTACGCACGTTTGAAGTCCAGTTGTTCACGTCTGGAACACCCCCTACATGTATGATAGGTATATCGATGGTGGAACTCTAGAAGTGCGTATCTCGATTTTTGACTGTGTTGAATTAGCTGCATAAACGAGTTGTTGAAGACGTTTCCTATCTACCATTAAGAGATTATAATCGAAAAAATCCGAAAATCACTTAAACGCGGTAAATTTGAAAAAGGATGAAAGAAATTACACTGATTGCGCGGTAAGGAGTGGATTTTAAACTTTTTGGCATGTCTATTGCAATTTACGTGCGATTTTACTCATAAGCAGTCAATTCACTTGGCTACAGCTGTAGCGCGCGATGGACCCATTTTGGGCGCTTCTGGGTACCAGATGCGCCCTTTCCAGCCGTTCGACTCCCCCGATGTAACATGTACTATACTACATACCGTTTTGCCTTATGGGTAATGACTCCATTCTGGTACACCCGGGAAAATTTGATTTTTTTCTGCATCTGGTATTCGTAAACGTTTTCGTGAAATGTTTTGCTTTTAAGCATAACAATCTCGCACGGACGTATTACCTGGTTAAACTATTTTGGGGCTTCGTTATGCTTAAATGCCTCATATTCGAGGTTGTAGTTTCAGATTGATTCGAAAAAATCACGAACAGTCACGTGATCTCTTCATTTTAGTGACGTATTACTGTGCTATTTTGTGATTGATTCATTTTCTCGGCGCAGCATCGTCAACGTCAGCTGTTTGCGGCTCTGGGTTGAAGGTTTAAGGTTATGTCAGAGAGAATAGAAAGTTAGAGGCCCGACTCGATGCTAGGTAATTGAAACAGATGCGCTCGCAGCGCGCTCGCTGGCAACGTACGCAACTACTATTTTCTATTGTTTTCCAGAGACTAGCGGCGGGTATGTTGCTGCCGGACCACCTTCACGTAGGCAATTTGTTATGCATCGTCCGTCCGCAATACTCTCGCTTGGCCGTATGAAAACGTTCCTCGCATGCGCAGTGTTAAAGAAGCGCCCTCCAACGCTTTGGCGTTGGAACTGCTTGTTTGCGCTTTCAACGCTTTCTCATTTTTTAAAAAATAACTCATGAGATAAGCCTCATGACCTCTTCGCCTCCCAACCTTCCGAAGTGCTTTACGCCTCCGGCGTTATGCACTAAGCATTACTCATATGATTGTATACGGAGTGATTCAATTGTCTCGCACCACCAGCACGGTGCATTACCCTTATTATTTCTGAATAAATTCAGATAGAGACTCGAAATTTAGTGAGTGCCCATAGGTCAACGAAAACGACTTTTCGGAGCCCCAAAAACTTTGAAGGGGCCACCCTAGGGACCTTAGGGGCTACAAGCGGAGTGCGGGGCTTTTGTATCACCTTCCATTGTGGAGTGAGATATGACGAATTCTCCTGTTTGAACTGAGAGAGTCATTACATTCAAATTAGACCATTAGGATCCCGAAGGGAACTCAATTTCGAACGTTAGTGCGTTACTGCTGTTTTTGGTGACACGGGAGGAGGTGTAGTCCGGAGCAGGAGCAACACTAACCTCCTAAGGAAGAACGCCGTATGAACATCCGATAGTTGCCAAATTTCCCTACATAAAACATGCATTTTCAAGGAAAGTTGTGAATATTTTCCCTCGACATTTCCAGATATATTAGTTTGAAATTGCGCACAAAATTATCTAAAAAATTGGATGAAAAATATTGACAACTTTCCCAATAAATTCGCAATTTATTAAAGAAAATTTGGCAACGTCTGAAGATTATACGACGTTTTTCTGGGAGGGAGAACGTCGGGCCGCAGGCAGCGCGGCGGGTCTGGGGCTGTGATTAGTGAATCCATCGACTAATAAATCATTAAGAGTTGTCATCTCGAGGTGGTTACGGGGAGGGGGAGGTGGCGGGATTAACCTGTTCCCAATTACATCCCCCTCCCCCACAGTTACTATTTCCTCGCCTCGACCCTTTGAGAGGAGCTGTCGCAGTCCTCGTCCCACACTCCGTATCCTGGCTGCCCCCTCTACACCCCCTCTCAATACCTTTCAATGTCACCCCAGCTCCCCAGCTTTCGATGCAACCCCATCACCAATCAAAACTATGTATCTCGCCATTGCATATTCTTCGTTTGAAATTTCTTTTCGCCAATCTTTCATTTGGTACATTTTAGCTGCCTGCGAATCTGACCTCGGGATGATTTTCTTTCTTCTTCTCAGTCTATACCCATCGATGCTTTAGGAAACTCAAGTGTTATCCAAAAGTGTGTCAAGTGTCAATATCAAGTGTGTCAATTGAGTTTTTAAAATATTTATGACTTAATGTATTCAGTACTATGATGACTGACGATGATAAAAATCTAATAAAAACAATAATTTCAGGTGTAGGAGGGTAAAGGGAGGGCAGGGGCAGGCTCCAAATGCTATAACCACTAACATATAATGATGAGATTCGAAAAACACTTGTCACGATTTTGGCCGCTCCAGATGACCCGTCATTTTTTACTCCTTCGACGGAAAACCGAGTAACACTATCTCTTGAAATTTTCAAGGATTTTCTCTCATATCACATGTATTATATTATACATATATAAATGTTAAACAATTTTATCCATACATTTTTCTTTAAAAACATCTAGCAAGGGCAAAGACTTTGAAACATTACAATTGAGTAACGTATTTTGTTTACTTTCGTCACCGCTGATAAGCTAGTGATAACAGAACTGAATGGAAAGTGCCGTAAGTTACATAATATTTTACCTAAATTATTGTGTAAGTTCAAGATTTTCAAAGAAATGTTGTGACACAATTTTTCACGGACTTCCGTTTGAAACCATCACGGAGAGTTTCATCTAATTTTCTTTTTTCCAGGTAAAATGAAATAAAATATTCCGAGAGCAAAGTTTTCGTACACAGTTGGATTTCGAAATATCCTCGCGATTCTTGGTTAAATTTCATGAGAAACGCGATTCCTTCAATAGGTTTTCCCTGAAATCTACTTTCAAGCCACGAAAAGATCTTAATTTTGAGGTTTTAATGAGGGAGCAAACCTCGTATTAGAATTCACCTTTACATTCAATCAAACCCTCCATGTAGAGATAGGACCAAGAATGTAGGTGCAAAATATGTAAAATTTGTGTCGTTATATCATCGGAAGAAACCTCGAGCCCGAGAAAAAAATCCTACCAGAAGCTCGCACGATTACAATGCTTTATTTTAGTCACATGACGATGAATCCACCCCTCCCCAAAAAAGTAGTATTCACTAACATCACTGAATACGTTTAGTATTACGGACGGGAGATTCCTTGAAATAAATGAGGTATAAAGGATTAAAAATATACGAAACTATTATTTAACGAAAATGAGATCATAACGCCTCTAAAAATCAAATTTCAAGCCTTATTAAAGTAAATATTTAAGAAAAAATTTACATCAATCAAATTTTAAGTTTTAAAATTGCCTACACCCTCCACAAATTTGGAAATTCTTGAACAGTGTACTTAATGGACTCAAAAATGACACACAAAAAATAGATTAACAAAAATGTGTTCACTGATAATTTTCTAAATGACCTGTCTCGCATCAATTATTGTGTCCTCCACAGAAATTTCTGAAGCTACTTTGTTGATGAGTCAGAGCATAGAGAGAAATGGTATATTTTATAATAATGAAGAGAGTTAGGTCCAGAAAAAGACAACTAGGTATATTTCCTACACCAGAATATCCATAAAATAATATAAAATTTGACTTTGCGATATTTAGTGAAATTTTAGGTTCGTATCACACTAATCTTGTACTGCAATTTAAGGTCTGGCAAAAAAAAATAAATAAAATAAAATAAAAAAATGATTTAACCAAAAACTAGAATAATCAGGCTAAAAAAAGCCACTTTCGGGGTTTCTTGATGTTTTAGGTGGCCTGAATATATGATCATGTAAACTTCAAATGGAGAGGAAAGTTCGTGGCTTAACTGTGGTCAAAGTGGTCAAAAATTCTCTGTCAAGTTTATTGGCTCATTTTGAAAGAATGGCTCATTTGGAGAATAAAAAAATCGAAGATTTTGAAAGTGTTGTGGTTGAGATACACATTTTTTTCATCAGCGAGCAGTAGTCGAATAGAAAATTTGCAGGTGTCTGAACTTAGATTGCTTTGGTCTTTAAATGACAGAATTATTGGAAGAGATATGACAAAATGACCTACTCTGCTAAAATACATGTAGCTTAAAGTATACATGTAACATTATTCCTGAACCAATTGAAAATAAAGCCTGCTATAGTCTAAAAGAAGTTTTCGAAGTACCTGTATACTTTCATTTTGCTTAAATTGTTGCAATCGATGTATAAATTGTACATTTGACTTGTGCCATAGCTTTTTACTATAGGCTGTATGCATCAATAAATTCTATCTATCTATCTAAAGGGAAGTGCCGCCAGATGACTGGCCAAGACAATAATTCTTCACAGTTTTATACCTATTTTGTAGAGTTTCCAAGACGAAAAAAAATCCTGCATGATCGGTTTAATGAGCACTTTCCCATGAGGAAATACAAAATCTCATGCGAGTTCTCCATTTGAATAGAACTACCTACCATAATTGGAGACTTATCCGTGAGTCGCGTGTAGGGCCATGGATCGCGATGTCTGGCGCCGCGAAGGGAAACTCGCGGACGGCGGAATTCGCGATTGGTGCGTGGAGCGTGGGCACTGCCTGACTGCGGCTCCGACTGCTGCGGACACGGAGGCCGCCCGCCGCCCGCCGGGGGACACCTGTGCAGCGCCCGCCCCACGCCCCTCCGCACGCCGCCACCCCCGACATTCCCCCCCGATAACCCAGGCCGCCGCGCCACGCGCCAAACCGGCCCCCGGTCCCCCGAGAGGCACCCCCCAACGACCGGATCAACATCGGGCAAAGCATATTCCCAAATCTATGGCCATTTTCCACGAGTGCGTATACAGTGAAAAATAAAGATTGGTATAATGGAGATGTTGCATGTACGAGGGATTTGCGATTTGACCATTGATTCTTATGTAAAAGTTCGCGAGAAAGACGACGGTGCCACTGGTTTTCTCTGAAATCAACTCCCAAGCTCAAAAAAAGCTCTCAAGTCGAGGCCAAAATGGAGAGGATATCCCACGCTACCCTGAGAGTCCACCTCTACATCAAGACAAACTCTCTATGCAAAGATAGGGAGCAAATACATTGGCAGGGTTGCCACTTTATTTGGAGACTCCGAAACTGAAAACACGGCATCACTGCTAATGTATTTGCTCCCTATCTTTGCATGGAGAGTTTGTTTTGATGTAGAGGTGGACTCTCAGGGTAGGGTGGGATATCCCCTCCATTTTGGCCTCAACTTGAGAGCTTTTTTTGAGCTTGGGAGATGATTTCAGAGAAAACCAGTGGCACCATCGTGTTTCTCGCGAACTTTTACATAAGAATCAATGGTCAAATCGCAAATCCCTCACACATGCAACATCTCCATTGGACGCATTTCTATCAAACAGAGCTATGTGCACGTGAAAAATATGGGGTGTGCTCTAGAAAGCTGCATAAGGAACAATGTAAAAGTGGGCGTGATTCCATTTGAAGAATTGGAAAAGCGGGATTTTAAATTCAGCAAACGGAACCATGTGCCAACTGAATGCGGGATTTATGAGCCGCGGGCATGGCACGAGAGCGTTGTGGACAGGGCTCATGAGTAAAGCGCACTACGAGGAGCCGCGACGACGGCATCCATCTCAGTTGACGTCACTGGCGCTTTATTATTCTCACTCACTCTTACGGCCAGAGAGCTGACGAGCACACCCCAAATTTCCCACGCCCACATCAATCTCCTTGATAGAAATACGTCCAATTCAGAGTCGATTCTGCCAGAAAAAAGGTAAACGTTACTATAAACTGGTACAGGTAACCATTCCTCTGGCAGAATCGACTTTGAATTCACGCTGTGTATAATACAGCATGAGTGGTAGATTCTATCAATCTTTTTTTTCGGTGTATCACCGACATATTGGCATAGTATTAAGCTAAGAATTTTCAGAATACATTATTTGTTTGTTTTTTTTTTTACGTAAGAGTGCGGCCCAAAAATTCAGAATAACCGACAATTTTGTACAAAAAATATTTGGTGCTACAGCTTCGTGGGAGGGAGGGCCCTTTTAAAAAAAACGCTTTACACACGAAAAAACTCTAACTTCGGCCCATTAAGCGCGCGGTTCAAGTCTAGAACATCCTATGTCACCGATTAAAGTCCGCAACCACGTATCTCGGTATTTGACGATGCAGACTCCCAAACATACCGAATTTTTAAATTGAGACCTACTTGACGGGAGTTCTTAAAAACTACCGTGATTTTTCTTCTCTTTACGCAGTAAATCCTGCAAGAACACTTCAAGGAATGATGTCGATTTGCACTCTTATTAAAAAGATGAATAGGAGCGGAGATTTTCAAACACCGCAAAGAAGATACCCCTAGTAGCAGAACCATAGAAGGAAAAGATAAATATTATGTACGAAAGTTAATTTTTTTTTATATAATGCATGCATACGAAAGTGTTAAAGGTGAGCATTTTTATGTAACCATTATATAAAAAAAATGTCATAATTTTCGAGAGCTTTTCGCAAACATACTAAAAATTCTTCTAATTCGCGAAAAGCTCACGAAAATGATGACCTTTTTTTTTTATTTAATCGTTACATAAAAATGATCACTTTTAACACTTTCGTATGCACGCGTTATATAAAAAAATAAAAAATTTGTGTATAAAAAAAATTGCCTAATCCAGCTTTTATCATTTTTCATATATTACGGTCTGGTCTAAACTTTGATTTTTTTGTATATTAACGTTCCACGTTATTTATACTGAACGGGGTTCTCTGGGACCAGAGTATCTCCAAGGAGACCAAAAGAATAATTTTAAACGTCATCCTGTAGAGTATCGTAACTTGCGGCAGTGAGGTCTGGCAACTCAAGAAAAGAACTGAAGACATGCTTAGGGCAACCGAGATGGACTTTTGGCGAAGGTCTGCTGGGATATCGAGAAGAGAGCGAATCCGCAATGAAGAGTTCAGAAGGCTGGCCCCCGGCTTTGGCTCCTTAGGGTTCAGGGGGCTGGCCCCCGGCTGTGGCTCCTTAGGGTTCAGGGGGGGCGGGCCCCCGCTTTGGCTCCGTAGGGTTCAGGGGGCTGGCCCCCGCCATTGGCTCCTTAGGGTTCAGGGGGCTGGCCCCCGGCTGTGGCTCCTTAGGGTTTAGGGGGGGCGGCCCCCGGCTTTGGCTGCGTAGGGTTCAGGGGGCTGGCCCCCGGCTTTGGTTCCTTAGGGTTTAGGGGGTCGGCCCCCGGCTTTGTCTCCTTAGGGTTCAGGGGGCTGGCCCCCGGCTGTGGCTCCTTAGGGTTTAGGGGGGGCGGCCCCCGGCTTTGGCTGCGTAGGGTTCAAGGAGTCGGCCCCCCGCCTGTTGCTCCTTAGGGTTCGGGGGGCTGACCCCCGCCTTTGGCTCCGTAGGGTTCAGGAGGGGGCGGCCCCCGGCATTGGCTCCTTAGGGTTCAGGGGGCTGGCCCCCGGCTGTGGCTCCTTAGGGTTTAGGGGGCGGCCCCCGGCTTTGGCTCCTTAGCGTTCAGGGGGTCGGCCCCCGGCCTTGGCTCCTTAGGGTTCAGGGGGCTGGCCCCCGGCTTTGGCTCCTTAGGGTTCAGGGCTCTGGCCCCCGGCTGTGGCTCCTTAGGGTTAAGGGGGCTGGCCCCCGCCATTGGCTCCTTAGGGTTCAGGGGGGTCGTCCCCGGCTTTGGCTCCTTAGGGTTCAGGGGGCTGGCCCCCGACTTTGGCTCCTTAGGGTTCAGGGCTCTGGCCCCCGGCTGTGGCTCCTTAGGGTTAAGGGGGCTGGCCCCGGCTTTGTCTCCTTAGGGTTCAGGGGGTTGGCCCGCGGCTGTGGCTCCTTAGGGTTTAGGGGGGGCGGCCTCCGGCTTTGGCTCCGTAGGGTTCAGGGGGCTGGCCCCCGGCTTTGGCTCCTCAGGGTTCAGGGGGCTGGCCCCCGGCTGTGGCTCCTTAGGTTTCAGGTGGGAGGCCACCGGAGTGTTGGGCTTTTGGATGACTCTGCTGTGATTCATACCCCGTATCCTGAAGTCAATTATTCGCCTTCAAATGGCCGGGTATGCAAAATGACTGCCATGAAGCACGAATAGTGGTATCAGAATTTAGCATTAAGTATATGGATAGATTTGAAGGCGCTCTTTTGTATTCATTGTGAGTGGCCTTTTAGAACGATATTGACCAAAAAGTTCATAATTTTGTGTTTTAAATCGAGCCTCACATTCGAAAATTGCCGAGGAATAATAATTTGAAAAAATAATAAGATTGTTTTTGGTCTCTCCGTCTCATTTCAAAGAAGAGAGCGCCTGGAGGTGGCTAGATCAGATTGTGTGTTTTAAATCCCCTGGTTCGGTCATCGTATTCTGAAGCGAAACTGAAAGAGTCGCCGTTTAGAAGATCGGAACTTACTCAAAAGCGGTTGTGAATTTAAAAAGTTTCGCACGGATAAAATAAGCTTTTGCTGATTAACTGTAATTAATCCAATTTGAAGAAAAGGTACAGTGTCCACTGGTCCATTAGGCAAGCGTAAAGCATGGATGGATGGAGCATCAATGACCAACTAAAGCTTATCTGATAAGCAATTTTAAGTGTGAAACCCTTTTTTCAGTCTTTAAATGATCCAAATCCACCAGCAAGTTCAAAACACTAATTGCAAAAATGCGTATCTCCTGATGAAGTGTCGATTCTTAGTGCCAAAAACGCAAATCTCGGCATTTCAGCCGTATTTTCTAACAGTTCGAGAAAGTATTAAAACCGCTGATGGAGTTTTACGAAACATCTTATTCTTGCTATCCGTAAAAGGGTAACCTCTAAAGAGGAATTCAGACAGTTTTCTTGCACTCCTGGAAAATTGTGTTTTCCGAGAATTGCTTTTCTGCACTTTCACCATCGATAACCAAGGTAGATTAACACTGGTGCACTTACGTTAATTACCGTTTATAAGTAAACGGTAAATGCGATTTAACCGAAAATCTATACAGTTCTTCATCAGACCAAAATGGACAGAATTACAAAATTTGAACCAGCTAACGTAAATCTAACGATAGTTATCGTGAACGAAAGAATTGCTGACATAGGTCGGGTAACTATTATAGGTGAGAGGATGGGAGGATGGGAGGATGGGAGGATGGGAGGATGGGAGGATGGGAGGATGGGAGGATGGGAGGATGGGAGGATGGGATGGGATGGGATGGGATGGGATGGGATATCAAGAGCTGGTGCTTTCTGAATTCATTGCAAGTTCTATTTCAAGCAAGATAGCTGGTCGGAATGCGGACGGCAAAAGGGGAAAAAGCGCCTTCATTTTCGCTTGATGCAAGATACGATACACATACACCAAAAGCTACCTACTCTACCCTATATCTCATTTTTACCACATGAGATGGTAAAATGAGATCGCACTGAAATGTGACCATCGCAATATGCTATCCGAAGGAAAAACAAGGAGAAACATCCAACATGAATATGTTGGAAAAGCGTGCAGAACAACTGAAATTTCGGAGACATGAGCTTGAATGAATCGCTGAACCAAGAGCTAATAATATCAGCTGTTTTGATATGGCATTCTATCATGGAGTAATGCATAGGCTCATGTTGTATAGTCAATGGGTACGAAGCACCCATT